TTTTTTTTTTTTTTTTGTGGGTGTGTGTTTTTTAAATTATTTAAAAAATGTATTGTTGAGACTATCCAGAGCAGAGCATACACTCACGCCAACAGTCTCCACGTACAGTGTGAAGCTGATGACATAGTTCGAGTTGTCCACCGCCCTTATCCTTCTGACCTGTCCCTCCCTGTGAGCACAAGCTCACTGTCCCTCACCTCACCTTTCATGTTGTTCCTGTCAGTTTGATCACAGACGTCGTTCTACAGGAGCTCAGTGCTCAAGGCTGGTGTTCCTTGCTGGTTATGCTAAACTGTCTCTTGGTTTCAAGATCAGGGAATATTTTTGGTTTCAGGTTTAAAGATTACTGACAGCAGTCATTCTCGGGATGTGTCTGTCCAGCTTTTAAGTGGCTTCAAAAAGCCTAGACTTTGTAAGAACTCAAAATTCCCTTCTGCATTTCCTCCCCCACCCCACCCTTTTGATTAGGATTCTACAAAATCTATGTGCAAAATGACCAGTAATTGAACTGTGTATCATCCAGTTCTGGTCTCATGGCAAAGGATGTAGCTTCTTTTATTTATTTTTTTGGGACGCAGCTTCTCATCCGTGTATTCTGCTCCCCAAACACTTGCCTCCTAGGCAGAGATGTGGCCAAAAGAGACAGCGGACTTTTCCAACGGAAAAGCCTTTATGGTGTGTGGTTAAAGAATTCACAGCGAACCAAAAGGTCACCAGCTGCTTCTTGGGAGTTTTCTTCCATAAAAGACAAAGAGCCCTGGAAACTCCAGAGGAGGTTCTGTTCTTTCAGGGTCGCTCTAAACTGGAGCGGACTCAGGGTTCTAACTTGGAGAGGACTCAATGCTGTAACCTGGAGCAGACTCAGTGCCGTAAACTGGAGTGAGCTCAGTACTCTAACTTGGAAAGGACTCTGCTCTAACGTGGAACAGACGCAGTGCTGTAAGCTGGAGGGGGCTCAGGGTTCTAACCTCTGAACCAGACTCAGCGCTCTAACCCAGAGCAGACACAGTGTCGTAAACTGGAGCAGACACAGTGTCGTAAACTGGAGCAGACTCAGTGCCGTAAACTGGAGTGAGCTCAGTACTCTAACTTGGAAAGGACTCAGTGCTCTAACGTGGAGCAGACGCAGTGCCGTAAACTGGAGGGGGCTCAGGGTTCTAACCTGGACCGGACTCAGTGCTCTAACCCCGAGCAGACACAGTGACGTAAATGGAGCAGACACAGTGCCATAAACTGGAGGGGGCTCAGGGTTCTAACCTGGACCGGACTCAGTGCTCTAACCCCGAGCAGACACAGTGCCGTAAACTGGAGGTGGCTCAGGGTTCTAACCCGGAGCAGACATAGTGCCGTAAACTGGAGCACTGGAGCGGGCTCAGTGCTCTAACGTGGAGCAGACACAGTGCCGTAAACTGGAGCAGATGCAGTGCCATAAACTGGAGCGAGCTCAGTACTTTAACCCGGAGCAGACGCAGTGCCGTAAACTGGAGCCGGCTCAGGGTTCTAACCTGGAATGGACTCAGTGCTCTTACATGGAGCAGACGCAGTGCCCTAAGCTGGAGCGAGCTCAGTACTCTAACTTGGAGCAGATGCAATGCTGTAACCTGGAGTGGACTCAGTGCTCTAACTGGAGTAGATTCAGCACCATAAACTGGAGCGGACTCAATGCTCTAATGCAGAGTGGATTTAGTGCCTTAAACTGTAACCGACTCAGTGCCGTAAACTGGCGCGGACTCAAGGCTGTAAATTGGAGCTTAGTGGTGTATGTCAGGTTGTTTTCTTTCAAGGGGCCTGGAAGACCTCAAATAATAAACCATAAAAATGTAAATGTAACTATAAAGAGATGATGTTATGTGCCATCAAGTCACATGTGACTCATTGCAACCCTATGAACAACAGTCCTCCCTGCTCTATCCGGTGCCATTCTCATTGTCTCTGACACACCTACCCCCATGACCCCAGTCATTGAATCAATCTACCGCATAGAGGGTCTTCCTCTCCTTCACTGTCCCTCCACCCTCCCAATCATGATGTCCCTTTCCAAGGGCTGGTCCCTCCTTGCAACATGCCCAAAGTACATCAGACAAAGCTTCAGAATCCTTGCTTCCAAAGAGCAGCTTGGTTTCACCCTCTCCTGGATGAAACTCATCGTTCTATGTGGCCCATGGTACATTCAATACTCTTCTCCAGCATCACAGCTTAAAGGCATCAATTCTCTATCCTCCCTAGTGATTGTTTAGCTCTCTGATGCATAGCAAGTGACTCTAAAGGCCATGGCCTGAATCAGGCACACCTTAGTCTCCAGACCGACATCCTTGCTCTTCAGTACTCAGAAGTCTCTGATAGCAGACTTTTCCCAATGCAACTTGTCTTTTAATTTCCTGCCTGCTGATGCCAAGAGTGTTGATTATGGAGCCAAGCAAATTAAAGCTGTTAACAGTCTCACTCTGTTCATCATCTATCATGATGCTGTCAATTGGCCCAGTGGTGAGAATTTTTCTTTTCTTGATATTGGGCTTCAATCCATATTGAAGGCTGCAGTCCTTGACCTTCTGCAGCAAGTGCATCAGGTCCTCCTCAGTTTCAGTGAGCAGGCTGTGTATGTAATCTACATAATGCAGATTGTTGATGAGTCTTCTTCCGATCCTGATGTCACATTTCTCCTCATAGAGTCCAACTTCCCGGATGATCTGTTCCGCATATAGATTGAAATGTTAGCTGCTGATAAAACCATCACCGTTGACAGCTCCCCTGACCTTGAGCGAGCCCTCCTTCCTCTCAAGCTGCAGGAGGGTATCAGGAGCCACCTCCTCACCCCAGCACTCAGTGGATGGAAAGCACAAACTCAGAATTTAAGATGTCAATGCTGCTTTTATTGCACTGACTTTTCCAGAAGTCTGGAGGACATCAGCTGGGACCTGACTCGCTGCCTCTGGCCCCAGAGCAAGTGCAGCCCCTGTTGTCCGGCCACCTGCAGACCTGGGTCCCCAAAGGTGGCACAGCCCCTTGGCAGGTCTGAGAGTTCTGGGGGAGGCAGAGCAGGAGCTGGGGACAGGGTGGGAGGTGGTGTGTGTGTGGTCACGGGGGTGGGGTGGGGTGGGCTGAAGGAGTCCAATCTCCTTTAAAGGTGAATCCGGAGTAAGCCACCGCCCCTCCACGATGGTCCTGAGGTTCCAGCTGGGAGCAAGTGCCGGTGGCTGGTGCCTCCAGGGTCAAGGCTGGGGGGGGGGTGTTTCTCTTTCTTGGATCCCACTAGAGGCTCCCCGAGTTCTAGAGCTCAGCTCTTAAGTGCTGTTGTCCCCCACGTTCCAATACAAGTTGCAAAGTAAGACCAGTAAGAAAAGAGGCTAATCCACAGTTCCTTATAAAACCCCCCGCCCCAAGCACCCTGGTCAACTGAGGACCCCCTCGGTTTTCATTCTTTTGGGGGATCTGCAGAACGCAGGTGTGTCCGGCTGCTCTCGCTTAGGGATGGCAGGTTGGGGGCCGTTGTGCTGGGCAGGGGGTTCCCGCTTGGGGCTGCAGGGTGCAGAACCGTTGAGCTGGGCCGCAAGCTCCTCCTTGGGCTCAAACTTGGGCGCGGGCGGGCGGGGCAGGGGCGGCAGTGCTGTGTCCAGTACTCGGGGGCCGTCCCAGGCTGGGATCTCCAGCCCCAGGTGCTTCATGAGTTGCGTCATGACATCATCGACGTATCCGTGGATGCGCAGGTCGGCGTGGCGATCCTGTACAGGTGGGGTGGTGGGTCAGAGGGCAGGTGGGGTCCCGGCTGGGGCCTGGGTGGGGTGGGCTCTGGGGACCTACGTGTTTGGTGGGCTGGAGGTTGACAATGACTAGCCGGCCACCTCGGCGCTTGGTGGCCAAAGGCAGGTTCCCACTGGGGCGGATTTGCAGCGAGGTGCCGAGGGTGATGGACAAGTCCGCGTTCCTGGGAGGGAGCAGAAGGGGTCAGTCAGCACTCCTAACCACCCTCTTATGACCCCCAGGCTGGCAGGCAGGGATCCGCCTAGTCAGCCCCACTGCTTCCTACTCCTCCCTGGCAGCTCATGCCTCCCTTCCCTGCTCCCCTGGGCATTCCTAGGCTGCCCAACCCCTGTGCCAGGCCTTCGCCTTGACACTAGAGCGGGTCCCCACCCCTCAGCTCAGTGCCACCTCCCCCAGTGTGTTGGCAGAAGCGGACTCCTCGCCTTCGCTGTGGTATGATCCACAGAGCACCACGAGAAAAGTACTTAGGCTCCTGGGTTTGATTCCTGGCCCTGGAACTTCCCGGCAGGGCCGTCGACAGGTGTTACCAGTGGGACCTACCTCAACCTCAAAGACAAAAGAAGCCCCCCTGCCTAAGCCTGCACCATCGCACCAGCCTGTGCCATTGCCACACCCACTGCGGCAGCCCCTTGTCAAGGCATCTCCTGGAGGGGTCTTCTTTTTCATGGACTCTCTACCAACTATCTCAGCTCTGGTGGCCTAGTGGTCAGAAGCTGTCCTGCAATCCCAAAGGCACACGGTTTGAATCCACCAGCTAGCTGCTCTGCAGGAGAAGGATGGGCAGTCTCCTCCTATGTGATTTACTGCCTCTGAAAACCCACTGGAGGGTCAGCTATGCGTTGGTTCTGACTTAATGGCAAACAAGGACTACCCAGCATGATGTCGTTCTCCAGTATGCGAGAATCCCAGCCTCTCAGGAGCGTCCCGGCTGCAGGTCTGATGTAGTGGTGCATGGTATATTGCATATTCTCCACCATCAAAGTTTAAAGGCGGCATCAATTCTTCTTGAGCCTTATTAACTGTTCAGTTTCCAACTGCATAAAGACTGACTGAAGATACTATGGATTGAGTGAGGCACACCTTAGTCCTTAGAGTGATGTCTCTGCTCGTTACCACTTGAAAGAGGTCCTTTCTAGCAGATGTGGCCAATCCAATAAGTTGTTGGATTTCCTGATTGTGGATCCAAGAAAAAGGAAACCTCTGGCAACCTTTTCTGCTTATCATTATGTTACTAGAGTAGGGTGGCACTGGACAAAGCAGCCACCTCACTAAGCTGCCTAAACGGGCCTGGTAGAGTACCCACCGAGGGCTGAGGAGGGTGTGTGTGAAGCCTGGCCCAGGGCTGGATGTCCGAGGGCTTGATACCTGGGAGCTGCTGTTACTATACTGTTTGAAGGCACCGGTGGCACCGTGGTAGAATCCTTGCCCCTTCCAAGCAAGACACCTGGGTTTGGTTCCTGGTCGATGAAGCTCACACACAGCCCCCGTCCACCGGTCAGTGGGAGTCTTCATGTTGTTGTGAGACTCAAAGGACTTCAGAGATGCTTCTGGACTATGACAGACTAGGAAGAAAGGCCTGGCCATTGACTTCTGACGGTCATCCGATGAAAAGACTGTGTGCATCACAGCAGCCTGGTCCACGACCAGCCATAAGGATGCTGCAGGACTGGACGGCGCTTCCATCCGTAGGGCGTGGGGTCACTATGAGCTGGGAGCAGACTCAGGGCCCACAACAGCAGCTGTTATGATCGGGAAACTGATGTCCAGTGAGGGCCACTTCCTCCAGAAGTCCTCTTGGCTGCTGCCTCTGACCTGCGTCTGATGGCCTGTGCTGGAGGGGCCTGTTTCTGCCTGTGCCCTCCTCCCCTGGCCCAGCCCTGCCTCATCCAGGGGAGAGGATTGGGTCAGACCTGCTGGCCTCGTCAGCGAGGGTGAGGTCCCGGTCAGGCAGGGCGTCCTCCCAGTCTAGGATGGTGTCCCTCAGTGTCCCCCTGTGGAGGACAGGACAAAAGGAGTCGGCTGGGCTCGCACCCGGGGCCCAGGGCCCAGGGTGTGGGGGGTCACTCACCTGCAGGCCCGTAGCCCCCTGGCTTTGGCCACTGTGCAGAGCCGGCCCGTGGCTTTAAGGCCCATGCTGCCTACCACCGTGTCCCGGACATACTGCCTGTGTGGGGAGGGAGACAAGGGGCGGTCACCCACTTCCCCTGGAAGGCCCGCCCTGCGGCCTGCTCCCTTCTCTCACGGGAGCTGAGACACCTAACTTCCGGCAATCCAAAATAGCTTCCTGCGGCACGATGGGCTGGACACGTCAGGGTCCACGTCGCGGGAGCCAAACGGAGGTGGAAACTGTCCCAGATCAAGAAGACTGAGGGCACAGTCAGGTCTTGTGAGGCCGGACCCTGGCCTGAGAGCTGGACCAGGAAAAAGGAGCTAGAAATGGAGGGTGGCTGGGAGAAAGTGTGCTCTCCTGCAGTGGGGACCCCCTGGGTGGGCACCCCCTGCAGTGAGCACCCCCTGTGGTGAGCACTCTTGAAGCAAGCAACCCTGTGGTGAGCACCCCACAGCAAGCACTCCCACAGCCAGCATCCCTGTGAGCACCCCGCAACAAGCACTCCCACGGCCAGCGTCCCCGTGAGCACCCCACAGCAAGCACTCCCACGGCCAGCATCCCTGTGAGCACCCCGCAACAAGCACTCCCATGGCCAGCATCCCTGTGAGCACCCCAAGGTGAGCCCCCACAGCCAGCATCCCCGTGAGCACCCCGCAACAAGCACTCCCACGGCCAGCATCCCCGTGAGCACCCCGCAACAAGCACTCCCACAGCCAGCATCCCTGTGAGCACCCCGCAACAAGCACTCCCACGGCCAGCGTCCCTGTGAGCACCCCAAGGTGAGCCCCCACAGCCAGCATCCCCGTGAGCACCCCGCAACAAGCACTCCCACGGCCAGCATCCCCATGAGCACCCCATGGTGAGCACCCCATGGTGAGCCCCCACAGCCAGCATCCCCGTGAGCACCCCACAGCAAGCACTCCCACGGCCAGCGTCCCCGTGAGCACCCCATGGTGAGCACCCCATGGTGAGCACCCCACAGCAAACACTCCCACGGCCAGCGTCCCTGTGAGCACCCCCATGTTGAGCCCCCACAGCCAGCATCCCCGTGAGCACCCCATGGTGAGCCCCCGCGGCCAGCACCCCTGTGGTGAGCACCCCACAGCAAGCACTCCCTCAACCAGCCCCTGCAGCAAGCACCCCCGCGGCGAGCACCCCGTGGCCAGCACCCCATGACAAATACTCCCATGGGGACCACCCTGCACCCCTGTAGCGAGCCTGGAGGACTGTGGGGCCGGTGGCAGCAGGGCCTGGCCTGAATAACTCAGGGACTGTGGGAGCCTTGGTGGTGCACTGGCTAAGGGCTTGGCTGTTAACCGAAAGGTCGGTGGTTGAACGCTGGAGGCAGCTCTACTCTGTCAGACGTGGTCACAACTGGCTCGATGGCACCCTGCCTGAGCAACCACAGTGGGGTAACGGGAGAGACTGTCCGAGCTCCTAAGCTCCCAAGACGGGGTTTGGGGCACACTGGTCTGATGTCTTCAACGGACACTTCGGGGGCTGAGTAGAAATGAGAACACAGGGGACAAGGCCCGTCTGGTGCCGTGGTCAGCTGGTGGGTCCGGGGGTGGCACAGTATAGCCCTGGCCACGCTGGCTCCCGACCCAGTCTTATAAAAAGGTTAGATTTATTTTGCCCCCTTATCTAAGCTTGCCTCCTTGGCTCCACTATCTGCATGGACGTATCCGCAGCCGGACATTGCACTGTTGCCTGCCTGCCTACTATCTGCATGGACGTATCCGCAGCCGGACATTGCACTGTTGCCTGCCTGCCTACTATCTGCATGGACGTATCTGCAGCCGGACATTGCACTGTCGCCTGCCTGCCTGCCTGCCTGCCTGCCTGCCTGCCTACCTACCTACCTACCTACCTACCTACCTATCTATCTATTTATTTTTCATTTCAATGAACATCTACAGAGATCTTGGAATTGCTGCACCCCTCTCCCCGCGCCCCCCACCTGCCAATCTTAAACATGCTCTGTCTTGTCTGTCTGCTTAGGAACTTGTAGGTATAAAGTTTTATTGGCACACAGGTGTGTCCATCATCTGACTGCTCTCTCTGGGTACATGCTCAGAGCTGAGTAGAACTGAGGGTCCACAAAAGCACTGACTGACCGAGCTGCAATCAATGGTTCTCTGGTCTTTACAGAAGAGACTGCTGGGCTCTGGTCTAGGTGAAATTTTTATGAAGTTTTTGTTAAAAGATTAGAAATTTTTCATAATAAAAGGAGATGAAAATTACTTTCAAAAGTGGGATCCTTTGGGGGGAGCCTGCTCACCTCAAGATAGTCAAACTTGTGTGCGGAGGGGCTTGCTTGGATCTCACTTGCTCCAGGGAGGGGCTCTGGAGCATTTTTTCAGTTGTTGTTATGTGCCATCGAGTCGCCTGTGACTCATAGTGACCCTCTGTACAGCAGCTCTGAAGCCTGCCCTGTCCTAGGCCAATCTCACTGACTCCGACACATCTATCCTCATTGCCCTAGTTACTGTGTCAATCCATCTCATCCAGGGTCTTCCTCTCCTGCGCTGTCCCTCCACCCTTCTGAGCATGAGTCCTTCTCTAAGGACTGGTCCCTCCTGGCCACGTGCCCAAAGTAGGGGTGTCAGATACCTTGGTTACCCCAAGGCTGCACCCCAGAAAAGTCACTCCACCTGCTCCTAGAGTATAACCTCTCATGCCCCTAACAGGAGTCCTCCCCACAGAGCACTGGTCACTCCTCCACAGCCCCCCAGACGGTACCACCACATCCTCCCCAGGCCAGAAAAAGCCCCTGGGTCTCTGGGCTACTGGCTCCAACTCAGATATCCCTCCTGCAGAGCGTGTCCCCAGGGTGACAGGAGATGGGGAGGCTGGGCCATTCACCCTTCTGCCTGGGGTGCAGGGTCAACCCCCCCCCCCCCAGTCTCCTCCCAGGTCACTCACGTCTTGCATTTGCTGCACTCCTCTACAAACATGTTTCCGTGAAGCTCCGCCAGCTTGTCCCTGTGGGAGAAGGGGTGCTGGGTGGTGGAGGGGCTCGCGGGGGAGTCGGGGTGTGGACGTCAGCCCCAGCACGCCGTGTGCACTCGGGGTAAACGGAACAGGGATGGCCGTTAATGCGTCCGAGCGCTCTAGGCTCTGAGCCTCCCACCAGTCCTGCGGAGCCTGCTTCCACCTGCAGCCCCAACCCCAAGGATGAGGCCCTGGCAGGGAGGGGCTCGGCGCTTCCCCAGGCTGACCTGGCCGAGAGGGGCCTCCCCAACCAAAGCCACCGCCTCCAGCTGACATGGACCCTGAGCGGGGGCTCCCAGGCTGCAGTCTCTGCGGAAGCTGTTGGCTCAGCTTTATCCCTGGAGGTGGCCGGTGGATTCGAACCACTGACTGCTGGTTAGCAGACCATGCTTAGTCCACGGCACCGCCAGGGCTCCTTGGAAACTCCCTGGGACCCATTATAAAGGGACCTCAAGGCTAATGACAGCAACAGAACTTTCGGCACCCAGTGCTTCTCCTTGGCCAGCGCCATCATCAAGTCCATTTTACAGATGGGAAGCTCTAGGGTGGGCGGAGACAGGTGGGCGGGGCTACCTGGGGAAGCCGGAGCGCACGTGCAGCCCGTCCACGTTCTGGCTGACCAGGAAGTGGAGCAGCCCCACACGCTGCAGCTGCACCAGCGCCATGTGCGTCTGCGTGGGCCTCGCCGTCTCGAAGGTGGTGTCGAACTTGGGGGTCAGGCCCCGCTCTTCCATTGTCCAGACGCCATGTGGACCTCTGGTGGGAGCAGGTGGGGGGAGCCACAGAAAGGGAAAGTTTAGGGGACCGGGAAAGGAAGAGCGCGGAGACCGAAAACCAAAATCAGAAAAGAGATGGAGACAGGCAGAGAGGATCGTAATTGGAGAGAGAAACAGAGACGGGGAAGAGAGAAACAGCAGTGATGGGGCAAAAAGCCAGAAACACAGAGAGACACGAACACATGGGGACAGACACAGAATATCTGTCAGATATTCAGTTAGCAGCCACCACACTGTGCTGGGTGGACGAAGTCCCAGTCCATGCCCTCAAGGAGTCTTGTGTGAGGAAACCCATCTGGTCACAGCCCTAAGGTGTCAGGGCTAGGAAAGGTGAGAGGAGGGAGTGTGGGAAGGCTTCCTGGAGGAGGCTGTGTCTTGAAGGGAGCTAGCAATGGCCTGTGAGTTTGAGGACATGCAAATCACTGGGCACCCTGGCAGGAACCAGCAGGCACTGAGGTTGGAAATGGCCCAGGGTTTGGTGGTGGCCACCAAGTCCACTATGATGTACAGCAACCCTCAAGTCCACTGTGACCATCCATTTTGTTGAAGGTCTTCTCTCTCTGAGCGTCCACCTTTCTCAGCACGGTGTCTCTACGAGGACTGGTTCCTCCAGACATTATGTTCAAAGGGCGAGATGAAGTTTCACCATCCTTGCCTCTCAGGAGCACCGTGGGGAACTTCTTTCAAGATAGATTTGCTTGGTCTTTTGGCAGTCCCTGGGATATCCACTACTCTTCTCTGACACCGCACTGCAAAGGCATCGATTCTTCTTAGGCCTTGACTCATTGTCCAACTTTCAAATGCATAGGAAGCAACTGAAAAGACCGGGGCTTGGGTCAAGTGCACCTTGGTTTATAAATGGACACCCTTGCTCTGTGCACTTTGGAGAAGTCCTTCACAGCAGCAAATTTCCTCAGTGCAACACGTCTTATGCTTTCTTGACATGTGTGTGAGTTTGACACCCCTGCTTTTCAGCAGCCAGACTTCTGTCCAATACAGGCTGCCCAAAGCAGAGGGGTTAGAGGTCATCTGTCTCATGCCCTCATTTACAGGTGAGGAAACCGAGGCCCAGAAAGGTTCTAGGGCTAGCCTGGGGTCACCCAGTCATACCGGGTCCTACAGGATAAAGTATCTTCTCTGAGTGAGGGGGGGGTCACTCATCCCAGTATGGATTTCCCCGTCCTCTGTGATAATGAAAGCAGTGCTGTCAGACCCATTCCCCCTCCTGGAGACCCCAGGCATGTCACTGTACGTCTGTGCTCCACGGGGCTCTCACACCATTATTTTGTTACACAATGTTTGTGTTTCCAGTGAAGATTTACACAGCAAATTATTCAACACACAACAATTTCTACAATTTTTCCTGGGATTTTTCAGTAGCTGATTTTCAGAAATAGACTGCCAGGCCTTTCTTCCAAAGCACATCTGGGTGGTCTTGAACCACAAACCTTTTATTTGACATCCAATGCATTAACGGTTTCGTATCACTCACTCAAGGACTCCTCTACGGCAATGTTGTTGGGTGCCATCTAGTCAGTTCCAGCTCCCAGTGACCTGTATGACAGAAGAGCCCTGCTCTGCAGGGTGACTGTAAGCTACGGGGACAGATCATCGGTCTTTCATTCTGCAGAGCCGCTGGTGGGCTGCAATCTGAGACCATTCCCCGGCTCGTTAGGTGCCATCAAGTCGCCTCATAGCAACCGTATGAAGATGGATTTGAACTTTCTGTCCTTCACCAAAGCCAATACACTTGAGCCCACTGCTGCAGTCACGGTGTCAATCCATCTCACTGAGGGTCTTCCTCTCTTTTTCTGACCCTCCACCTTTCCAAGCATGAGGCCGTTTTCCAAGCAATGGCCTCTCCTGGCAACGTGGCCCAAAGTATGTGAGACGAAGCCTTGCCACCTTTGCCTCCAAGGAGCACTCTGGCTGCACCTCGTCTAAGACATATCTGTTTGTTCTTTTGGCTGTCCATGTTCTTCTCCAACACCACAGCTCAAAGGCATCAGTAATTGGTGCCACACTTCCGCAGCTGGTGCTAGCCAAACACAGATAGCTAAAAAAAAAGACCTCATTTCCCAGCATCCCTTGAGGTCAGTTTGGGTCAGGTGACCAAGTTCTAGCTATGGGGTCCAAGGGGAATTGTATGTGTAGCCTAAGGGACTTGTCTAAAAGGGCTCATTCCTCACAGCACTTTCCCAAATCCCAGGGGCAGCCCAGAACCCGGCCAGAGGACTGCCAGCAGGGAAGCCCGTGGCAGGCCCTGCCTCGACTTCCCCTCGGTGCACACAGACCTGAAGTCCGGGATGCCGGAAGCAGTGCTGATGCCCGCGCCTGTGTGGAAGACCACGTTGGAGGACTCCCAGACCATCTGTGCCAGCGCCCACACTTTCCGCTCCAATTCCTCCGGGGGGTCGAAGATCTGTCGGGAGAGAATGGGATGGGTAGGAACAGGTGCACAAGTTGGGGATCGCAAGCCACGTGTGGGCTGCGCTGCCGTGCTCAGGCGGGACAAAGGACTGAGAAGCAGCTGCTCTGGCGTCCCTCCTCCGCCTGCAGCACACCCACAGCGTGGCTTCCACCTTAATTCTGAAAGACGTCCCAGTGCTCCCAGCCAATCCCCATTCTTCTCTCCTCCTTGTTCTCCCTCTGCTCCAGCCACAGGGGCTCCCAGACGTTCCTTCACCTCATCAAGCAGGAGGGTGCTGCCTCTGGGCCTTTGCCTGGCTCTTCGCTGGGAGATGTGGAATGCCGTCATTGGGCTCTCTCAATGTCATCTCCTCATTTAGGCCTCCTGGTGACAGTTCCCTGCCACCCCCCCTCCGTCTTCTTCCACATGCCCGATTTCTTTTTCCACACAGCTCTGACCCCATCTGCTCATTATACTGGCCCTTTCTAGCCCATGTCCTCCAGAACGAGGGGTTTGTCTCGTGCCCTCTGTATTCCCACAGCTCACTCGGCTCACGGTACCAGCTGCCACTGAGCTGGCTCCAGACGCCCTGTGTGTCAGTACAACTGACTCGGAACCAACCCATAGCTGACCCCCCAGAGGGTTTTCAGAGGCAGTAAATCACACAGTAGACTGCCCAACTTTCTCCTTGCGGGGCAGTTGGTAGTGCCTCTGGGACTACAGTGTAGCTTCCCCCCTCATCCCAGAAACGAATAGGTCTTTACTGCAGGGGCTGAGAGGGATGTCGAGTGACTGCACAGGCGGAGAGAGTAAAAACGGAGCCAGGGCAGTCAAGGGCGGCTTTTTTAATAGGGGTTTTAGGGAGGACTAGGGAAGATGGTATTTATTTTGCTTGGAATTAGGGACTGTTAATTAAATAGTGTTTGTGATCAAGTCTAGAGCCTTATCAGGATCCATTGTCTGGTCACCTTGGACATCATCAAGGTTTCTTCAAGGAGTGACCAGGGCTGAGGGCAAGTACAGCATTCTCCCTCCATTCCAGATCTTAAAGGAATATGACAATTAGGGGTGGAGTTGTCTCTGGCTACTTCCTGCTGAACTGTGGCCAAGTTGGGGGGTTGGTGTTGGTTTTGTTTAAGGCCTGAAGGAGGAGCATCATTTTCACATGTTCTTGGGCAGCTGTTCCAGAGATTACATGTTGCTGTTGTTGTTATGTGCCGTGGAGTTGCTTGC